TTCATACGACAAGCCGTACCCCCTTTTCCATTCTGCACTTTAATGACCGGCGCAAACGCCGAAACGGCGCGAAAACCCGAAGAGTCGGAGATTCGCCTTTTGAGATTAACGCTGAAGCGGCGATCCTCATCATCGCCGGTTGCGGCGTCGACGATGGCGGCGACGGAGGCGGAGGAGCGTGCTGTTCGATCCTTTCAAAAAATTTCACCTCGTCCGAGAGCCATTTTTCCGACACTTTTGCAATTCCCACGCGGCGGTCGATCGGCAGAGAGACGACGAAAGAAGTGTTGATTGTTTTTTTTCCCTTTTTTCCATTTATCCGAATCATGTCAGCCGGCCGTCGTCCGGCTGTATGAAGCAACCGTGCGAACCGATCGCTCCGACGAAGAGCAGAGAAAGAGAGAGAGAAACAGAGAGAGACAGAGAGAGCGAAAGCTGCGCTGAGACAACACGAATCATTCTCGCGTCGCGAATACCAGCTTTCCCGCGGAATGCAGGGCGCAGGGCGGCGAGGGGGAGAAAAAGCGAGACGCAGGAGCGAGAGGATGCTCGCTCTTGCGATGCGGAACACAGCGTCGATTGCTTAACCGCGCGCGCGACGTGCTTATTTCCGGCGCATGGCGCGCGCGCGCGCGCAAAATCCGCAGCCGCGGCATGCAAATCTCGCTGGGTTCGGTCTTAACACTCGGCTAACAGAGTAAGATACGCGCCACGGCGCGGCGGCGCAGACCGTGTTCCCGACATTATGAGAACAAACCCTCTCTCGTCGGCGTGCTATCATGGCGGTTAGCTGGATGGTCGGCGGCTGGTCGGTAGACCCTTTCACATTTAGCCCCGGACTCGTTACGCAGCTCGAGGGCCGCGAGCATTGAGTTACAGTTAACTTTAAGTTACCCTGAAACTTGCCGTCTCGGAACTTCCGGAAAACCGCCAAACGGACGCCCGCTACACGTACCCGGAGAGGTCCATTTCCTCCGTGCCGTGGAAACTCCCGCAGGTGGAGAATGCGAGGGGAAGCGAAAGGCGAGCGGTCGCTATTTTCAATTCAATTCTTTCCGATTTTCTGTTCTCGCGCTCGCAAGATATCATTTCGCAGCCGGCACCTATGCGCCGGCCATCGGAGTCAGTCATCGGAGCTGGAGCGGGGAGCTTAATAAGTAATCTCGTTGTGCAAATTACCTTTTTGCACCGTCGACGGAGACACGATCCTTGATAATTGGGTCAATTAAGACTTGAATAATGCATGCGATCGCCGCGAGGGACGAATGACACGACAGATTACCGGCTTCGATGTCGTCCCGGATGTCGGCCATCTTGTGTGATGTAAAATCCGTTCCCAGTAATAGAGATGTGAAATTAGCGCGAATATCGCGAAAAACTCGCCGACGACACACGCGATACCGCGTGTGTGTGTCTGTTAGGAAAAAAAAAAAAAAAAAAAAGAGAGGGGACGAAGTACAATCTACGGCGCGATAACAATATATGAACTACGGCAACTATACCCGCCGATAATAAACAACGCGCACCGACTTTATTAGCTCAACGTTTTCGCGCCGCCGCCGGCATTGTCGCGAAATGCGCGCGCGCGCGACAAAATTCCGCTCTCGCTTGTTGTTTTTCAGCGTTTTCTCTATGTGTTTACTGAAATCCGGCGAAACGGCGCGTTTGATGCGTCGCCGTTTTCGTCAGCCGGGCATCCGCCGCGCAGCGGCTGGCTTCGCACACTTGAACACTGCCAGCAAAATGAAAAAGGCATGCGCTCGCGTAGAGATGCAAATGAAATAAGCCGGATACGCTCGCTTCTTTCGCGACGTTGAGGTGTTTTAATTCGTCATCGTCGTCGTCGTCGTCGTCGTCGTCGTCGTCGTCGCGCGAATGTATCTTCGTCGAATAATAATTAATACCTCAGCTACCGTGGCTACTGTCGCGAAACAGGGAGAAGAGAAAGAAGAAAGAGAGAGGGAGAGGGAAAAGAGAGGAGGAGGAGAGAGAGAGAGAGAGAGAGAGAACCCGCTCTTAAAAAGCAATTTCGGCTCGCTCACCATGAAAATTATTATGCGAGGGATCGCAGAGGATACGAGGAATGAAACATCCTGGCTGCGCGTCGTGGGAGCAAGCAGAGAGAGAGAGAGAGAGAGAGAGAGAGAGAGAGAGAGAGAGAGAGAGAGAGAGAGAGAGAGAGAGAGAGAGAAAGGAGGAGAAGGAGGGCTAGCAAGGGTTGGCTGTAAAAAGAGAACGAGTTTAGGATCCCGATGGAAGGAGCGACGGCGCAGCGTGCAGATTCTAAAGTACGAGAACTATTAGCCGTAGTTTCCCATGAGCATTATACCTCCCCTGATGTGTAAATGATGCAACTCTACGCGGCGTGCGCGTCCGACGTGCGCGCGTCCAATCTGCACCGGGGATTGAACCGTTAGGAAAATAACTGCATGGAAATTGCTTAAACAAGGGTCGCTTTTAGACGCGTGTATAAAGGGGCGAAGTGATGACTGTTTCGGAGTGGAATAAATTCTAACGGACTCTGCCTCTTAAGGGAAGAGATCGAGGGGCCGTTTCATCGCTCGGGGAGGCGGGGGAGCGGGAGGAGGAGAGAAGGCAGATATGAAGGATGACGTGTGGTGGTTGTATGGTTTTGTGTCGCGACACAGCCGAGTTAAACGACGTACACGGACGAGAGATAAAAATTGTAAGAAACGCCGACGTCCGCGATTGTACTCGTCGGTCTTGGCTCGGAGCGGGCTGAATAACAGAGACGCGCGGCGATTTTTCAGCTCGCTCGCACCGTCGTGTCATTAGAGCCTCGGAGCTTCGGGGGGATTTTTAGTTGAAACCCGCCGGCGGATCTGCGTCCATCGGTCGCGCGCGCGCAATCCGCGCTCGCGTACGCTCACGTACGAGCGCGGCCATTACGCGTATGTATATACTCGCAAGTCATGGCGTTGCGAGCGCCGGTGAAAACGCAACAAGCACGCCGCGCCGCGCCGTGCCGTGCCGGCAGTAAAGGGACAATGCGCGAGCAATATGTTCGCTGTTTAAAGGCACGATGCGTGCACTTGAAATTTATGCCTCACGGGAGACCGGCTAAATTCCGAAACTTTGAAAGTCCGGGCGAAAAGCATACATCAGCGATCTAACGAGTTTGAGTTTCAGCGGACTCGCCGCCGCGGTATCGCGCTGCGCCGTTCAAGCCCGATATGTCAGCCGCAAATGTTAGCTCGCCGAACAAATATTTTTTCCCCGTGCGCTTTCATGTTACGGTTATCTTAATTAAACAAAAACGTCGCCGTTGCGTGTTTGATCCGTGATGGCGGTACATGTTTGAAGCGGGCGCTACATCGGAGAGAGAGAGAGAGAGAGAGAGTCCCGCCGGCGAGCGGGAGGGAGGGAGGGAGGGAGGAAGGTCTCCGCGTCATTTCTCTTTGGAATAAAATAATCATACCGGCGTACGAGCGCGCGCGCAAACGGCGTGACCATAAATTACGAAAGAGAAGGAGGGAGAGAGAGGGAGAGAGAGAGAGAGAGAGAGAGAGAGAGAGATTCGCCGAGCGCGCGAGTTCTTCCGGTATATTAGAAATGCGAAAGCGACCGTGTCGCGCGCGGCAAATTGCACTTTGCTGCAAAAACGGAAACTCGAACGGCGCTTCCGCATAAACAACAAGCCGAGAATATTCAGAATCGATGAATTCCCGGGAAATGGGAAATTACCTCGGCCAAACTGTTTCTATCCTTTTTGTGCGATGTTGCAATACGCGCAACGTATAACGAGATAACTGAAACAAAAGCTGCCTTCTGCCACACGGAAACGAACCTTCATTTTCCCCATCTCATATCAGCACCACCGACGCAACCCCGCGCGCTCTGCTCTTCATTTCGCCGCACCCGCCCTCTTAGCACATTCTCCCCATTCTTTTTTTATTAATTTCTATACTCCTCCTCTCCCTGCCCTTTCCTCTGCTCTCCCCCTCCTACCCCCCCCCTCCCCGCCCCTCCGCGCGCAGAGACACAGATATAGCGTATTATCGGTGGACGGCTGCCAAGAGAAGGTAAAATTCGACTTTGAATTCCCGGAGCGCTCATCGTTCTCCCGCCCTGTTTCTCTCGTCCTTTCCATTCTCTCTTTTTTTTTCCCTCCCTTTCTTTTCCCTTACTTCCGTCGCAACGACCACGCATTCGCGCTACTTTCGCTTCTTTCACCCGTTATCTTGCAGAAATAAAGTTGCACGCGTCATTACAGCGCTCGGCCGTTATCGCCGTGTTCAGAAACACGTCGACGGGCGCGCATTACTACATGCAAGTTGGATGAAAAAAAAAAAGAGGAGGGCCAGCGGGGGAGAAAAAAGGGAAAAAACGCGCGGCGCCCGACAAACGGTGAAATTGAATTACCGCGGATACCGGAGAACCAACGTGAGCCGACCGCGGAAGTCCTCGACAATAAAACGGAATTTAGAGTCCGAACTGTAGTTCTCTTCCTCCCGCCGATATAGCTCGATTTTATAGATCTCGGTGAGCGAGAAGCGATTTCGACGCGGATCTCCTTTTAAATGCGCGGCCATGATTGACATCTTTGTGCATTTAATCATTTGTATACTTTGCCTGTATACACCGCTGTTTCCCCTCGAGAGAGAGAGGGAGAGAGAGAGAGAAAGAGAGAGAGAGAGAGAGAGAGAGAGAGAGAGAAAGAGAGAGAGAGAGAGAGAGACGGAAATCTGGAATTTATATTATCACGTTTTTCCCCCTCTCTTTTTCGCTCGGTATCATTAAACGACACGACGCGGAGAAACATCGACGAGGTAAGGCATCATTTACGTCGAGCTCTCAAATAGTAAGGAACGTTATCAATAATTTTCCGGCTGACACACTTTCATTGATATCGGCGAAGTGGAGCACTCGAAAGCTTCTTACAATAAATGTCGATCACGTCGTAATCGAGACCACAAACATTGACAGTTCCGTTTTCGCTCGGCGAATGTAAAATGACATATCGGCAGTTTCACACTTACAGAAGATCAGCAACAACGAGGGATATTCTTCACTGCCATTACTCCTCCCGCTGAGAAAGAGGAACCATTGACGAGGATCGACTCTGATCCCGTATCTGCGGCATAAAGCAGAAAGTGGATGCTTTACTTTGCGAATCTTTTATTTGATGCAAATTACTGCGCGATCTGTGTGTACCTTACTATTAATAACATAATTAACATGATAATTGTCATTATTTGCAGTCGGCAATATTATTATTTATCTTAGCAAATGTAGAATAGTAAATACGCGGAGTATATTAATTATAATAATGCAATAAGTAAATAAGTATAATAACACAGAGAGCGGGAACAAATTATATTAGCGTGTCAATTTCGGATGAACTGGATGCAATATTCGGTGATGCATCAAAGATTGACTGGTTTTAATTTTCATTTTTCACTGAAAAAGAAAAGAGATTATTCTCTCTCTTATATATATATATATATATATACATACATATAAATATCTCACTGCAACACGGGCAAAATAATATCGAGGAGGAGGAATGAGTAAAAATAAGCATCAATTCTGGCATCATAATCTCCCTTTAGTCTCGCAATGCTAACCGAGATGCAAATGCTTCATTATTATAATGGATCTGTTTGCGGTATGATCTTTTCCACCGAGGTTGATTTAGACAGAGAGACGAGAAATGAAGAGGAGCAGATCGCTCGCTCGCGCGCGCCTTCTTCCTTCATAGGATAAATAACCATCGCACCGCTCGCACGCGCGCACTATGCAGCAAGAGGGAAAGCGCCGTGCTGAGAAATGAAACGATTTTCCCAGACGGCTCAATGGAAATGTAGGAAACGTCTGTCCCGTGACTGACTGCGATCTTGATCCGAATCTGTGATTCATTTAGATGGCACGCGCCGGAAAATATTATAAACGGTGCCCCCCGCCGGCTGAATCGTGCCGGATTATTTATTGGCAATTTCGTGAAATGACACTTTCTGTGCACATGCGAGTCGTACATTAATTTCTGCGGATAAATCAACCAGCGCTGCGGCAACAGTATGTGTCTGATCAAACAGCCTGATAAACAAATGAAATGGAATAATATTAAATTATTATATCCGATGCACTGCGTGCATCCGTGAACGTAATAAAGGAAAAGAATTAACAGCCATAAAAATGGAATACACACACACACACACATACAGGGGAGATTTACGCAAATGTGATATTGTAGGTGTAAACGATTCGAACAACAGGCCGGCGATCGATTCTTCGGATTGAAATGAACGAAATTTATTTGGCAACTTGCCGAGCATAGAATTGCACAATCGTTCTTAAAGCTTCCAATCGTTTCACAATAACAACAGTGACTACCGCGGGGATGAAACCCATTCCGACCGTTCGATTTGAATCTGACCGTTATCGATAATAACAATCGATATAAGCAAAACTGTTCCGTTCGGTCGAGAAACTATCGCCGTTTAATCCGCGGAGTGGCACGATAAAACAAAACTGTCGCGATATGCTTTGCGCGTAATAGCGATGCAATATTACCGAAATGATACGGCGAAAGAGGATAATCTGTAAATGAAGCGCGAAGGAAAATTACTTTTCTGTGCATCCCCCTCCCCCCTCCTCTCTTGCCATCAGAATATACAAATTTGTTCGCACGCTCGCGTCATTATCGCGCGCCCGCGGAAATAAATTTTGTGTGTCTTATCGTTGGATATTAACCTGGAAACGCAATTTGCGTTTCCGATGCTATCGATCTAAGCCATCGAGAACATTATTTTCTCGCGGGACACACAGAAGGGGGGGAGGTTTGTGGTAGGTGTACCAGCCGAAAAAAGGTAGCGATGTATACTAATGGCTTCGGGTCGTACGTGTCCGCTAACGATGATAAACGAGGCTTATGGGTCGACTAATTAAAGTATTCGAAGTAGGTGCGGTTGTTACGGAGAGGCAGAGAGAGAGAGAGAGAGAGAGAGAGAGAGAGAGAGAGAGAGACAATATTTATTGGGACGCAACCACTGACCCGGTTTTCCGCGAAAGTGCGATCAGTCACGTTGACGCGGTTTACGGTAATAGGGCGGTAGGTGTGGAAAAAATACGACTTCGCTTCATAATTAATCGTTACACGCCGTGCGCTGACAACTGATCGCCGGTAATTCATGAAAACGACACAACTCGTGCGCGCAGACACACCGCGTGTCAATAACGCAACTGTCGGATCTGCGTTATCGCCGTATTTCGGCCAAGTAGAATCCAAATGTCTCACGCTTTCAAAAACAAAGCAGAGAGAGAGAGAGAGAGCAGAGAGAGAGAGAGAGAGAGAGAGAGAGAGTAATTCGATTCCCCGGAGTGCGACAAATGTGCGTACTGCGTGCGATCTGATAGAAATTAAAAACGAGGAACATCGGGTGTTGTGTCCCGCGTTGCTCTCTGCTAACACGTCTCGCCGCGGTAAGGAATATCGTTCGCGCCGATCCGGCGGTCGTGGTGAAATATTCATCTCCGAGGGATCGGAACATCCCGGATAGGAAACAATCGTCCGGCGGCGCCGCCGATGATTAAATCGATCCGACTTCGATACGCGTGTACACACGACGGACGCGAATCTCATAAAACATTCTTCGAGTACTTGAAAGTTGAGGGATATCGCACTTATCGAAACTCATCGCTCCGAGGCGTGAGCAGAAACGATATTAAATTTCTTTCCCGTCGGGAATAGCCGTCTTGATCCGAGAGCGCCCGTTAAATCCACGCTCGTTCTTCGCCCGCCGGAGTTCGTTAATACAGCGTCACGATAAAATCCCCAATTTCACGTCGAACGTGGTGAGGAGGGTCGTCGGGGGTGACTCTAGGCGGTAGGGAGGGAGGGAGGGGAAGGGTGAGAGAGAGGAGAGGAGAGAGAGAGAGAGACAGAGAGAGACAGAGAGAGCTCGCGCGGAAATCCAGATTGGAAGAGTTATGGCGCCAATATGGGACGGGTCCGGATGAAAATGTGGGCGCGAACGGTTCGCATTAAATATTAATAAAACGCCGCGCGGCGAGACCTCTTCCTCGCTTCTACTATTGTAAAGAACGTAGGAGATGATTCTTCTTCCTTGGAATTAATGGCAGGGCCTGAAGGCTCGTTTCAAATGTCGGATCGGCACGGATTGAACGGCGGAGATGAGATGGATTGTTCTCGCGGAGATTCCGAGGGGTTGCGCTGCGGGGGGGTTGCGACGTGTAAAAGTTGCTTAATTTATTTCGATATTTATCCGAATGGAATTCCGCCTCATCGCGGTGCGTAGCGCCGATTTATTCGTCCTGGCCGACCCTCGAAGGGTCTCACGAACGCGTGAAGTTCTCTCTTCGCGAGAGCGAGAATGGGGGACGAAGATGCGGCTGAACATCTACAAAGTGGCAGAGGAGTGACCGTTTTTAGCGTTTCATCCACGAAGATTACCGTTAGACGGGAGATATCGCGCAGCGGTCGAGCTAATTAGTCGCAAGTAATTCGGGACGATCGCGGCGAGTCATAAAATATAACGCGCATCCCCGAGAATCTAGGCGAATCAGAGTGCGCGAATTATGACTGCATGGCGGATCGCTGGAAAAGTTTCACGAGCTATCTGCATAGATACGAGAAACAAGAGAGCAGGAACTTCAGCATCCTCCTTCCTTCCCTTCTCCCCGCTGTTCCCACCCTTGCGAGCTTTTATCGATAGCGGCGGAGCCTTTCGTCGGGAGCTCGATTAATTGAGCTCTTTTTCTCTCTCTCTCTCTCTCCCTCCCTGCCTCCCTCCCTACCTACCTACCTACCTACCTCTTTCTCCTCCCCCCTCTTTCTCTTTCTCTTTCTCTCTCTCTCTCTCTCTCTCTCCCTCTCGCTCGCTCGCTCGCTCAGTCGCTCACTACACTTCTTCCACCTCGCACAGAAGCGCTTCGCTTTCTTACCGACATGTTTTTTTCAGTCGCCAATCCACCCTCTTCTAGCCCTTGCCCCTCGCCCCCGCACTGTCGATTAATCTCGATCGCAGTGGAATCGCGTCGACAGCCTCATCCTCGCGACGTGGCCGCCACGCTCCCGTTCTTATTTCTCGTGCGCGCGCAACGAGTCTGGAGAAAGCTTTTTACCAGCTGGAACGGATCATTCGGGGAACGCGAGGAACGCGACGAACGGCTTTAAATGATTACGATTCTGCCAGTGCTCGGGCGAAAACGCCATGAGTCAATAGTAAAACGGTCACGCGACCGTACGTGCAATTTTTCGGCCGATTGAACGTCATGTTATACGCAAACGCAATACGGAGAGTCGCGGCAATGTTTGATTAATTAATCGCGAGCACTTTGTCAGTCTGCGCGGAGGGAAAAATGTTTGGTTGAACGAAGCAATTTTCTGGTGAAATATGAACGATTCAGGAATTCCGAGTACGAAAATACCAGAAATTCTGTTCAAGTTAGACAGAAATTTTGATCATTTAGACTGAATTCTGATAACTTCAGCCGGAATTTCTGTATCGTTCACACTTCACCAGAAATTTCTCTCATTCGATCAAATATCTCTCTCTCTCCCTCTCTCTCTCTCTCTGTCCGTGGGCGATTACCGAATTGACGAAACAGGAATTCAATCAGATATAAATCTACACGTTGCTCTCAATTTTATTAGTTTCACGAAGGAATGTAATTTTTTCAGCCTCTGCTCAGTTTTTCATTTTTGTTTTTTTTTTTCCAGCGTCTATCCGCTCCGTAAGTTTTTCGTAGGTATTTGGATAAAATATCGCCCCAAGCGGTGATATCGATCGAACGTCGAAATGCATTTGGACATCGGTATCTTCCGGAAGGATTACCAGACGATCTCGGGCGGAATCGTTTACGATATCTTCGGCCGCCCGCAGCTGCTCCTGTTTCAAGCTCGTACGAAGCGTGTCGGGGCTACCTCGAGCAATTACGTCGCGAAGTTCCCTCGAAAGTTTTTCCACGCTTAACGAGCGTGATAAATTTCTGTTACGCGCCCCCGGGAGCGGCCGGACGCGAGGCCGAGAGTTTACAACGGCGATAAAAATCTCGTTGAAATTATTCATGGGCAACGCTTACGCTCCTCTCGCGCCCTCGGAAGAAGAAGGCATCTAACTTACTCCTGCGAGGACGATCTCTCGCAAGGAGGAGACGTCGCGCGACTAGCAATGGCCGTAACCGATACGTAAGCGCCGGGCGCTTAACCCTTAATGACGCGCTTTGATTCCGAGCTAATTGACATTCGCGCGTGTAAAAGTCAATTATCGCGACTCGGACGAAGCTTCGTGAATTATATCGGTGGGCTTTGGAAAAAAATGCACCGTCGATACGGGCGACACCCTGCTCGGCGGATATTTGCGAAAGGAAATTGCGAGGCTGTGTTCGTTCGTAACTTTTAACAATCTCGTTAGAGTCGATAAATGCAAGGGATTTTGAAACTTCAATTGTTTGAACAATAGACTCGCGTACTGGTTCGTGGCCATCGCTGTAAAGGGCGGCTAATTCTATTCGGAAAGGCGAGAAACGGTCAGTTCTGCTCCATCCATAAATTAATTTGCTGTTACTCGCGCCCTTTCCCCCCCCCCCACCCCTCCCCTCCTTTTTCTCCGGCCATCTCTTCCTTTCACCGGCAGAGTATCACGAGAGTAACGATCGGCACTTCGAGAAGAGTCAATCGAATAAATCGTACCGGAGAAGCTACTACGTACATTTCCAGCACCGAGATAAATTTAGTTATCGCTGCGATAGACATAGATTATCTCGTCCCGATACTGACGTGTGTAACGGTGTGTATCTAATTCGCGCCCGCTCGGTCGTTGCGGTTCCTCTTCATTACTTTGCAAATGAAGCGACGCGGCCCGCGTCCGTTTCAATGAAAAAAAAAAAAAAAAAAAACAAAACACGTAATTTCGGGACGAAGCGCGTCACAAATTCGACAATTTCGCATTTGCATATTTCCACTGCCCAATCCGCGCGCGATTATACATCTCATCATTATCCACCTTATCGATCCCGATATTGCGTGTCACGTCCGCGTAGTATCGCAACAATGACAATGCCCAAAGATATCAGATTTGTTTTCACCTGCAACGCGCTGCCGATGAAATACGAGCGCATCAAAACAGATCATGCAGCCTTACCGGTTGACAACCCATCACGCTGTCCCAACAACGCCTGCCGACAGGCTACCGAATAACATCCACTTACACGATCGATCTGTAAACCAGCCCGAAGAATGACGAATAATCACGTTGTAGCAGTTACAGTTACAAACTCAATTTTGTCAGCCGGCCCGACAATCGATTCTTTTTGTCGTATGCCGTCAATCGTTACAGCGGCGCATCCATCAAACCGATGGAGGCGCTTCTGATCGCCTTTTGTTCCCCTATTGGATTCCCATTGGACGCCAGCCCATGCAGGGACACCCTCTTCCAGCTCCGCTGGGCCAGTAACAACTTCTTGATGGAGCTATTGCTTGTCAGAGCTCCCTCTTCTTCGTTTCTTTTTTTCTTCTTCTTCCTCCTCTTTTCTTCTTCTTTTTAGCGGCGTTATTAGGACCGGCGCACAGTGTTGCGAAACCTCCAAATAGTGGCCATAAATCATATTGTCGCTATAACGTACTATAGTTGAATGTAAAGCATGCTATATTGTAAATACTGGTACTTCCTCATTAAAATAACATGTTTTCTAATTTTATTATTTTACTTTTTATTTTTGTTTTTATTTAAAAAAATTTCTTTGTTCTTTTGTTTTTTTGTGTTTAGTTTTCATCTTCTGCTTTTTATTTCATATAACTATTAACTAAACAAAATATCTTATATAACTATTCATCGTCCAAAAGTGCATTTGCTACAACTGGATTTGCAAGCAATTCAATAACTTCTTTAGGGAAGGGATCGGCTTTTTTACTTGAAACTTTTTTTAAAGAAGAAATGATGAGATCTGAGGAAAGAAGAAGACTTTTAAGTAAATCTTCATTCGTCGCAATTCTCGAGTTTTTTTCTTGTATGATACCCTCTTGTATCTCTACGGTCTTTATTTTTACTATTGTTTACTATATTATTTAATTAGAACTTAAACATTATCGTTAATTGTTATATTTGTAATTAACATTAGCAAAATTAACTGGAACAAAAGATTTTGATAGAGGATGTAATTTTTGTGTTGAACAATATTACCTGCAGTAGACAGCGTCTGACCGTAAGCGCACTGAATGTCAAACTCTGCTCATAAAATTTATCGTATTTTTGTAAGCGCTGGATGTCGCTCTTTGTACCTTTGCGTAAAGATTAATAGATATTTTATCTTTATTTTCACAAAGGTACAACATGGTGCGAAATGATGCAATTTTTGTATATCACGATACAAGTGATTAACTGTATATAAAAAGTGAGTCCTGTAAATCTAACTTTTATTGTATATACTTATAACTTTCTAATATACTCTCTCTTTATTGGAAATAAAACTACACAGATAAGATACTAGACAGGGAATATCATTTTCATGATAAAAAATTGTTTCAACGCAAAATCAATTATATCATTTGGAGGGTTATAACCAAGCTATTCTTTACTTCGCATCATGTTGTACATTTGAATTCACTTATCTTCGTGATACAATTGGATTTCATCAAGATGTTACTACGACTTATTAATTTGGACCTTTCAGAAAATATATTGAAAACGGGAACCGAAAATTTCGCTTCATATTTTTTCCTATTTTGGCCACGTTTAGCGATTTTTGCAACACTGTGTGTCGGCGGTACCGACACGATCGCCTGGCGATCGTTTAGTCTCTCCCCTCCCCCGCCCTCTGCTCCTTTGGTACTTTTTTCCCGAAATCCACTCATCCCGATACGAATAATGATCGAAAGCCTCCCGCCGAAGCGGTTTCCCTTTCGCGAGGGCGGAAAACGAAACGCATCCCATGAGACACGACGAAACAGTTTTGCGAGCGATTGAAGCCTCGGTGTCGATATAATGAGATAATCTTTGGGCTAATCGGTCCTCATATTTGGCTCTTGGGCCAAATCGCTTGGGCGATTCTCGTCGCGACGCGTCGTGAGACCCAATTCACCGGCTAAAATTGGAACGACTAATTCGTTTGCGACAACGAGAGAACATAAAATTGACCCGGCGACATTGCCGCGTGCATTATATATATAGTAGGCGTTCCCTATCGATCAGCGTTTATTCCTGATAAATCTATCACGGACTACGACCCGTGCGAGATATAGCACGGGGCCGTTAGATAAGAGCGCAACGCATTATCGGCAATTCGAGATACTCACTTTATGAAATTTTCCAACAGTAACCGGATACCGCCGATGCTCAACAGTAGGAAGCCCCAGTTGACGAATCCCGTGAAGTTATCGAAGCCGGAGCTCCACGAAAAGAGGCTATCTCTTGGCCGATGGCATCTGCAAAAGGAAAGAAAAGAGCGATTTAAAGAGCCTCTCTCCTTCTTTCCGCCAGCTCGCGCGCGCGCGCGCGAGCGTCCCATTATTACGAGCTCGCCGATAACTTTTCACCTAAATTCCACGAAATGCCTCACGTAATAACTGTTGAGGCACCCCGGGGAGGATCGAGTGTTATAAGTAATATCTTGGTATTTAAATACATTTTGTATTCAGCCCCTTTACGATCTCTTTATGAATAGAGCGAACTCGTTATTGTACCTTCGGATATTCGATAATAGACCAGCTCTCCGAGTCGCTGAAGGAGAAGAAGGTATTAAGGAGAATATTCTCATTCTGGCGCCATAGTAGCAAAATGCTCCTTGTGCGCGCGGGCCGTATGAAGAAAGACGGAGGAACGACGTAGGGATGAGAATGGGGCAATAAAGGGGCTTTCATATCGCACGGTTATACATGTCCTTATATCAATTTACGGACTGACGTACGGTTCACACGTGACGACGGGGCAAATGATATGAGTCATTTTTATCGCAATAAAAGATGCTCTCGTTATGCGAGAGACGGACATTCGCGTGCGAGCAGATTTGTCCGGAAAACACTCACGGAATCTACGATCCCACGCCGTGCTCGACGGTCTTTCTCTCTCTCTCTCTCTCTCTCTCTCTCTCTCCCGGTGCGACAGTCTAGTAGCAAAATGTACTTTATGACGGACGATCGTAGCAAGATTACCGCTGTCTGCGCGCACCCGACCCTCTTTCACTTTGTGCCCTTATACGTGCGCGCGCGCGGACGTCGTCGCTTTGCATCCAACGGGCGTTCAGGGCATCGCAAATTCCGTTTGCTCCGCGCTCCGTCGGGTCGCATCGAGGTGGACAATAATAACAATGCGTCCCGGAGCCATGCGGCGAGATACGCGTGTTTCGCTTTCGGCCTACTTATCTTTTGAAGCTCTTAGCGCGGCCCGCTTCCCCCCGGGAAAACTGCGACGTTCCCGACTAGAAATTTTGATCAGGTTCACCTAACATTGATAAGGACCTAATAGGGTGAATGGAAGATAATCCTAAGTAAGTCAGTTCTTATAATGTCCTAACGACAAATGAGTAAGGAAGATCTTTATAAGGTTATAATGATTGGGTCCACATTAGGACCTTAATGTACCAACCTAGTGTATGATATAATATGGTTCTTTAGTTAATCAGGTCCTTGTCGGGATCTTATTCATTGTACCTAATATGATTTGCATTATCTAGTTTTAACAAGACAATTTTTCGGTGTCATTTCCAAATATAAAGATGTTTGCCTTGGAAAAACACTTCAGATCACTTGAATATATTTGTAAAATGCTGTAGAAACTATCCTTTTCTTAGCAGTCAATAAATAGTTGTAAAATTAACGTAACAAATGCAACTTATGATATTCATTTTATGTTTCTTTTCCGAAACATTTTACAAGTATGCTCGAGCGATCTAAAATATTATTTCACGCAAATATCTTCTTATTTGGAAATGACATGAAAGGATTTTCAGCGTGTCATTTCTTATTTCTAATGTCATCATCCAATACAGCCGTGGCGAGTGATCAGGAGCCACAATTTGAAAAAAAAAAAAAAAACGTAATAAGGATTCCACAAGGTAACTCAGTAAGGACCTGACTATGAAGGACCAAGAGACTAAGGTCCTGATATCCGCGCTGCGTTACATGACTTACTAGGACCCGACAGTATTACCTTATTGGGACCTGATGGGTCCAAATGAGGTTAACCTCAGGATCAGGATCAGGATAAATTTCTAGTCGGGTTATTTCGGAAAAGTAATTGCGCACACTCGCGCGCCGAGTCACATCACGGCGCGACGAACGACAGACTGATACGGGCGAGCGGCTGGAACTTTGGTTGGAAGAATTAATCAGAAAGTTTGCCACCAATAAGCAAGCACCTCGTCGTGTCGTTATTTTGTCCTTTTTCTACCTTTTCTTCTGTCTTCATCCGACTTCCCTCGCGACGACGGTTGCGACCGCTTCGACAAGTGTCCCTTCGCTTTCGAATAATTTATTTATTTATTTATCTTTATTGCACTCGGTCGAGCGAATATAACGCGTCGCGTACAATGCGCGAGCCTGGCCTGGTCTGCGGACACGGGCGACCGCTATCATGAATCGCGAACGCTCCTTATCGATCAGGGATACGAGAGGCACTCGAATGTTTTGTGTCGCAAGACAAAACCCTTTCGAAAAGTTTATACGATGGCCCTCGTCGGTACTCGTCGCGAGCACAACCAACGGCGGATGATAGGCGCGCATCGTGAAAGCCGATTACGGGGACGCATCCGGTGTATAATCCACCCTGGAGACACCAAGACAAGAGGGTTTTGTGTTACGACCCTCCAATCTGCGCTATAGACACCATTCGGATTTCATGCACGGAATATTCTTGTTGCTGCGCACTTGTCAGTCACGCGAGAGCGGCGCACCATATGGAATTTCCGATATCTAAAGTGCTTATTATTGCAGGCGCATGACGGCGCGAAAGGAGCACGCACTAAAAGGATCTCGAACGGCGCCGCGATGAATCGATCACACGGCGAGCAAGAAAGAGATGATAATCGCCGCGAGCGGAGCTTCCTCCTAGCTTAGCTTCTCGTATTAGCTGCCGCTTATACCTCGCTTGATATTCTTATCGCATCGGTAAATGCAACATCGCACTTTTGCGGGATTATTTATAAAGCAGACAATCTATCTTCGACTGCTGCTGCTGCATATTACATGTAAAAGAAGGTCTATACAAATCTGGTTAGTCTCCTTTTATATATATATATAGACTGTTCCGAAAAAGGGTTCCAGGCTTGCAGGGTAGGTAGTACTCGTTATAATGACTAAAAAGTGCTCAGCGTACATGAGTCGAAAAATCCATCTGTTCAGAGTCGCAGACATTTCGCAATTTCCGAAAGACCTACGTTTGGCGCTTTTTATTTTATGAATCTGGAATCCTCTTCTTTACTGTTTTATTTTTTTATCTTCTTCTTTTATTCGCGTCATATATCTTGATATAAAGATCTTGATACAAAGATATTTTCAAGTGAACATATCCGAGAGAAGAGAGTTTTTTTCAAGCTCGAACATAAGTAAGATTTTTACTAATATCGTTAATAGCACGCGTCGCCGAGAGGGTGCGTGCTTTTCTCAGGGGCTTCTGGGTAATGTGTTTAGAGGAAGCCATCGTGTCTTAAGCAACCGCTCCGATGCGGTGTGCTTTCATAAATAAATCCGCTCGGACCATTGTATCAATTGATATAGTTCTCTACAACCATATAATCTCTCCGCTAGTCCCGCAGCAGCGGGCAAAACCCTGCGGAAGTATATCCGGCGAGTTTCTTTTGCGTCAGAGCGAAAACGACGATAACTCCGCGATCGATACGCTGGGAGAGTAAATCTCATATCAACGTTGGATTTTGCCGACTTCTCGATTGCCTCTTATTTCATGACCTCTCTCGCGTATTATGCCGCCATCGAGATAGGTCTCCAACAGCTCCTATACCACTTTCATGAAAGAACCACTCGTCTTAAGTATTTACATGAAAGATTCTAGCGAAGTATCCCCCTCCCCCCTCCGGGCGTGAGCGAGACGTATCCTTGAGACGGTGTGTCTCCTTGGAAGTTCCAAGGACCAGAGGTTCGTGCCCGAAAGGCCATGAAATTGGATCTATATCCTTGGAGGTGCTCGCAATTGAATTGCCAAACCGTAACAAATACCCCGGAAAATAATCTAAAAATACAAATCTCCCCTCTCAAAAGAGAGAGAGAGAGAGAGAGAGAGAAAGAGAGAGAGAGAGAGAGAGAGAGATTCCCAATTTTACCAATTACCGTTCCGGTCGAAAGTTGTAAAGTAACCGACGCCGTGCTGCGCTCGCCCTGTGCCTCGCCGCGACTCGCGCGACTCGCGCAGCGTAGCGTAAAGCCGCGCGCGTCCGTACTAATATTATATTAATTTCCGCAACGACATCTCCGGGAGACGATGACGACGCAACTTGTCCGGCGAAGAATTCCGTCGGTTTTGCGCGCGCGCGCCCTCGACGCGGGACGCAGCACACAGGCGAACGTTACACACAGCCCCGCCGTAATTACCCGCAGCCACCCCCAGCGACGTGGTTTCTGCGTGTATTCAGCTTCGTCGTGCGTCGTCGTCCCCGTCCTCTCGCGCCCCCAGCCGACGCGGTCCCCCTCCTAATAAACCCTCTCGACCTGTGCGCGCCGTAACTATTACTCAGAATTTATGGCAGATCGCGATAATTAATAGAGCCGCGATAGAAACGGCGCACGAGCGAAGAGCTATCTCGCGCTCCCGCTATTGGGAGAGCGCCGCCATGGCGGACAGAACGCGGACGTGTGTCGCTCGGGAATTCCATATGCATGAGAATAACGGGGCGCGCGCGCGGATATGTCCGGCCGGCCGCGGCCGGCGTGTCCGGCGTCTTCGGGAGTGTGAGCTACGGCCGTGGACGCGACCTTTCGACTTTTGTCACCCGACTCGAGAGATAGACGATGAATCATGCGGCATGCGACATGGGCATTGGCCAATGCGCGATAGCAGAAATGCCGAAGTAACCTTGCGTCATGCCTCCTCGCATGCATATACGCTCTCGTCTCGACGGAAGTGCAAATGGATATTTTCTCGGCTTCGTTGCGGCGAGATTCTCTCTCTCTCTCTCTCTCTCTCTCTCTCTCGCTCTCTCGGTCGATTTTAACGTCATTATACGGCGTATCGATGAACCGCCGGCGCATCTCTCTCCTCGCCGAGGCGAGACTTGAGAGATCCGAAGCGCGGAGCACGTTCCGCTTGTGCGAGCGCGCTCTCGAGTGATTGATCGCGATGATTAGCGGTAGTTTTTAAACGCGGCAGCCTTGCCGCGGCATAACTTGCGGTATCATACTTCAATACTTCGCTCCACTTTCGGAACAAACCGCGGCACCCCACCCCCCCCCCCCCGCGGGACATGAAAAAAGACCAA